CTTCTACTGGACGACAGCCTTGCAAATGCGTCCGGCAGCTGGACGGTTAACCACTTTTTAACTTTTAGCCAAAATGCAGGAAACTGTGATAACTCTTCTCAAAACAAAATAAACACAAAAATACTTTGTAATTGTAATTGTACATAATAGAGCATGTCTGTACACATTGTCTAGCAAATATTTACAGCTTTTCATAATCAGAAGTAAAGAAACAATGCTAGAAAGAAAGCCATTTCCCTAATGGTTTGAATGGGACCATGTGAATTAGCTAAAACTTACGTATCTTAAGAGAAATAGATGCCATTGGATGATGTCATTGTCTAGCACAAATTACATAATCAAGTTATGTTTATCTATTTATTATTATTATCTATGACTTTACAACAACAGAGAGTGGACAAAGAGAACACAGTTTAGGAAAGTTGAAAGTACCCTAAGCATAGTTGGGGACCAAAGATAAGACAGAACTATAACTCAATTGTAGTGATAGATATGTAGAAAAGAGAGGAAAGAGAGAGGTGAATTGGAGTATAAAAAAAGTGAGCAAGGACATTCTAATTAAATAAAGCGTAACATATTTGACATGGACACATGAATTGAAAGGTGCAGGGGAGAGATGAATTAAAATTTAGCTCTAGGTTGTTACATATAATTATATGATTTTTGTGCTGGATAAGAAAGAGAGAGAGATTAATGTTGGTACTTTATTTCACAGAGGTGGCAATCTGTGAAAATACGAGAACCGTATGATATTGTTTAGAGTATAGTGATGTTGTAAGTTCCAGTTTGTTGCTGACATGGTTGATCTGTCATAAGAACAGAATGGAACATATTTCAGTATGTTAAAGTTTAGGGAAGGATGCATGAGGCTTTATAGGAAAAACAGTATGTTACAAAAATTATAATGGTGAATTATGGGAAGAAGACCCAGCTTTCTATAATCTGTGAATTATAGATTCCGCCTTCTTAAGCTGGGTCTTCTACAGCATTACCAGTGAGCACTTACAGTGGTTAAAAAGAAGTTGAGCTTGCTCAGACCAGATAACAAGTGAATTAAGCTCTTCTTGCATACATCTGCAGTCAAATAAGGAAGAGACTGCACAGACACATTTAGTGTCATCTGGAAACATTAACAGGGTAGCTAGTTTAAGAAAAGAAGGCAACTCATTTAAGTATAACGTAAATTAAAGGGGAGCCATTACACTCCCTCGCAGAACACCTGATAATGCAGGTTACAAGGTAGATTAGGCTTCCCAAACTTTAAGACACTGATGACTTGAGTTGAGATAATACCTAAACAAGGCTAAGAGGTCGCCTGAAATACTAAAAGTGGCTAATTTGTCGAGTTGTTTATTGTGGAGGATGCTGTCAAAAGCTTTCTTTATGTCAAGGTACACCACATCAACAGTACACTTTTCTTTTAAGGAGCCTAAAATCTTACGCAGAAAGATTAGGAGCTGATGTAACACAGATCTTTTAGCCAAAAATACAAATTGATCGCAAGAGATGAGAGGTGAGACATGAGCCACAAATTTAATGTAAATCAAGTTCTGAAGTCCGTTAGAAACACAGGAAAAAAAGAGAGATAGGTCAATCAATAGCTACATTAGATATATTTCTAGATTTAAACACAGGATAAGATAGATTAACCAGTCACTAGGAATAGTAGAATTTGACCAAGACTGAGTAAACAAGTGATGGAGGGGGAATATAGTGGAAAACAGCACCCAAGTAGGACAATGGGACCAATACAATCCACTCCTAAGGCCTTTGAAGGATCAGGACGGCAGAGAATATCATATACTTCTGATTCATAGAGACAGTCGAAAGATCATATATGGGACAGATGGAAGGACAGGTGGATGGAGATTGACGAATGAAGGCAGAAAAGTAGTATTGGTTAAAGGATTTTGCAATAGTCATCTCTGTCTTAGTTGGTATAGAGTTGTAAGTCATATGACTTGGGATTCCAGGCGATTGTCACACAGATCTTAAATAATGGAAATTTTGAGAGTTGTTACCCTTGTTTCATTTGACAAGGTGCTTCTTGTAAACAGCCTTTGCTATGATTACTCTATTGGCGACAGTTGCAGAATTTTGTCCTGCTTTGCTGTTGATGCTGGCTTCAGTGATTTCTTCCATGACTTCATTTTATTATAGAGATGTATAATTTCAGGAGTAAACCCCGGAGGTAAGCGTTTTGCTCTTAGCTGCACTTGTGGTGTAATAAGCTCAACCCTCATAATTGGAAAGTTCCACATTAACATGAAGTTTGCCACATCATTTATGGTTCTGTAGACTTTGCCTTACAATGTGAAGAATTCAGCATCTTGAAGAAGGTCATCATAACGTTCAGGGCTGTTTTCTTAAAGCTGGAACAACACTTTGAAGAGAAACTGTTGATCAAATGGTTTACCAGAGACAGAGTTGTACAATCCATCAGCTGTGGTCCAGATGTATTGGTACTTTGTTGAGTGAGCGCAAGGCTCATTGAAATTATGGCAATATTATGTTCCTTTTTTTGACTATTCAAACTCACAAGGAGAAAAAGTAACTATGTTAAATAAATTTCTTCATAATAACGAGAATGAGCAAAGTCGATGCATCAAACCGATTACAGTGGCAGAGCTATTAAAGCCAATACCTTCCCTTTAGAAAATATTACAATCTAGTAAGCCCCTCCTTCACCGAATGAGTCATATTTTTGCTATGAACCTGCAAATAGAACTGTCAATATATACAAACTTTTACTTTTTCTGATGAAATAACTACAGTACTTGGTACTGCCAGTTGCAGAAGGAGATATGCTTAAGGCTGATATTATAGTATTTGGTCACTTTTTGTGACAAATGGCAAACATGTCAAGGTAGCAAGTTATCACAAATCAGTGGTCCTACTGGGTTATAAAATCAAGCAAAAATAATCATTTCATTTTCAAGAGCTCTCAATCACAATCTCTTATAACATATACTCAACTTCTGAAGTTAGTTATAGATCAATTTTCTATTGAAAACAAGTTCAAGATGTATCGATTGAAGTGTCAACCTAAAAATTCTCAAAAAACTGGTATTAAAAGTGGCGTCATCTGAGAATATTAACTTTCAGACCAAAAATTTGGAAAATTTTATTATACCAAACAAATGCTCTTGAAATTCTCTATTGATTGGTGCTTGTTGAGTGTTAATGCGGCTTACCTATCTTGAGTTATAAGCCTCCGTGTTTCGTTCTTCCAAGCAAGAAGTGGAGAAATTGCTGGAAAACCAATTTTTCATGTTTGTATTTACTTTTCCTGTTAGAAATGACATCGCATGACTGATCACATGACTATACAAGTTCAAAATGGAGAAAAAGTTGCTTGAAGGTGTTGTTACT